TGAGAGGAATATCGAGAGTTTTTCTGATGTTCAAGGAGAAATCTGGTTCTCTCTCAGATCTGAAAAGCGTGTGAGGATGAGGACCAAGGGTTTCATTCCTGCTCTCAAATCATAACTTATTGTTTCCACTCACTTTTATTTCATACTCAAATCTAACTCAATTTTAATAAGTCCACCATATTTAATATTGAATAATGCTACTTGTACCATATGGTTTACCACATAGTACATACATCCCATGTGAGTGTACATATTTACCCTTACTACACACTAGTACAACGCCCGTGTATTACACGGGTACTTGCTAATTTTTCGTAAAATCTAAAATTAATGAAGAAATGTAGTTGAAAATTTAAATATCATTTATAAAAATATATATTATTATATATTTAGTATGACACTTTTTATTTGTGCAACTTACATGTGTTATATTATAATAATTTTTAAAACTAACAACATATAACTACATTAAACATAAATATATCAATTGAGAAATAATTTTATTTTTCTAATGAATTTTAATAAATATTATTTTTTATTATTATAAAGATAAATATAATTTATTTATTTCATATATACAATATGGATGTCAAATCGAAGATCATCAAAAGATGATTAATTTGATATATTTTATATGTAAAACCGATAAGAAATACAAAAGTTATCAACTTTTAAAAACATTTATAATTCAATAGCTAATTGAAGGTAACAAATCAAAAGTCAAGAATATATTAGTCACATAGTGTCTCAGTATGTAAAATTACAAAGAAATAAAGGGTTATATTAGTATAAATGATGTTAAAATACCTAAGTTAGTTAAATAATATTTATGGAATGTCCAAACCTAAATTATTAATTATTAATATATCAATATTACTTGTCCAAACCTAAGTACGAAGCATGATTTTTTGCCAAGTAGGATTCTGAAGCACCAGAAGCAACCACGTAGGCTCAGCGCATTCGGGAATTATATACAGGGAGGATAGTACAACGCCCGTGTATTACACGGGTGCTTGCTATTTTTTCTTAAAATCTAAAATTAATGAGAAAATGTAGTTGAAAATTTAAATATCATTTATAAAAATATATATTATTATATATTTGGTATGACACTTTTATTTGTGCAACTTACATGTGTTATATTATAATAATTTTTAAAACTTACAACATATAACTACATTAAACATAAATATATTAATTGAGAAATAATTTTATTTTCTTAATGAATTTTAATAAATATTATTTTTATTATTATAAAAATAAATATAATTTATTTATTTCATATATACAATATGGATGTCAAATCGAAGATCATCAAAAGATGATTAATTTGATATCTTTTATATGTAAAACCGATAAGAAATACAAAAGTTATCAACTTTTAAAAATATTTATAATTCAATAGCTAATTGAAGGTAACAAATCAAAAGTCAGGATATATTAGCCACTAAGTGTCTCAGTATGTAAAATTACAAAGAAATAAAGGGTTATATTAGTATAAATGATGTTAAAATACCTAATTTAGCTAAATAATATTTATGGAATGTCCAAACCTAAATTATTAATTATTAATATATCAATATTACTTGTCCAAACCTAAGTACGAAGCATGATTTTTTGCCAAGTAGGATTCCGAAGCACCAGAAGCAGCCACGTAGGCTCAGCGCATTCGGGAATTATATATAGGGAGGATTTATAATTCAATAGCTAATTGA